ATTAACATAAAGCAATATATAAAAACGTGCGGCTCATTGCAGTTGTAGACACTGTGTGCAGTTTCTACCGCCGATACATTCACACATTTAATTTGGCTGTTTTGACGGACTGGGGGTTGTCGTATAAAATGAGATAATCCCATCAGGTATGGGTGTGAGCACTGGCACTACTCCACCATATTCCATCAAGGTAAACCATTGCTTTGGATGAGAATGAAATTCAATCATATTATATGTTGTAAAAAAATTCGAATTATAGTTTCACATTTGTGATGCAGCAAGGTAGCTGGGAACCCGTGTCAACCGTTGCCCAAGCTCTTGGGGGCCTTACATTGGGACGTTTGATCAACTCATCGACGAGTGATTATATACCATGTAGGAGGAAAGCAGAGCGTCCAGAGAATACCCACGTGTGCGAGGTGGGGGATGGGGCAACGTTCAATTCCCATACAGATTGAAACATATGGGGCGCCGTGGTGGCGAGATGTTAACTCCCTCGCCTGGTATACACGCACATATGAACACAATCACAAAAGTAGGGAGTCACTCACGCGATAGGGATGGGCTACACGGTCCACGCCAACTCCATGTACGGCTTGCCCTGGTACAGAAGATGTTAACTACTTCGTCTGGTATACACGCAGTGGGTTTGATCCCGACCCTGACGCCTACGGTATATTTGTAGTTTGCGTGTTCTCCGTTTTTTTTCCACTCAATATTAAGACACATGCGTTCAGAGTATTGTACTGCTAGACATTTCCACGTGATAAGCCGCTTCGTTGAGCTATCCTTTATGGCCAGGTCGTTTCTGGAAATCGCTAAATTTCTCAATGGCCCATGCCTGGTAAAATAAAATACAAATTAGTTTAGTTTTATTTTAATCCACTTGTGCTGGATTAGAGGCTTGTGTCACCACCCCCGGCTGTGGACCTGATGTTTTGTCATTAAGCATGGTTTGTTTTGAAAATAAAACACATGTTCATACATATACCGAGTATGGTTCAGAATATGAACTGTGCAAGATTGGGTACTGTTTTGATCAGTTAATTGATCGTGTTTTTTGTGTAAAATTTAAGTTAATTACAATCTTGAGACATCTCTATTATTTCAGCAGTAATGCCTGCATTTATTTTCTTGTCGTTAATGTATTTATATTAACGTGTATATTTTTCATTTTAAGACGCCGTTTTAATAATTGTATAATATGAAACATAATTAAATATTACACAATAATTGAATTATAATACTCACCAGCCACTGGATGAGATTCTTCTCGCAGGATACAATTCCTAGAACGGCGTTCTGGACTGTTCTGACTGAAACTAAGAACATAGCAGCAGTCACCAACCTTTTTGGTCACCAGGGACGGGTTTCGTGGAAGACAATTTTTTCACGGACCGGGGGGGGGGAGGGTGTTCATCAATGGGTCTTTCCCCCTTTTCAAAGAAGCTCTCCAGCGACGTTTGTATTTATTACTCATTGTGGCTACTAGGGGTTAGAGCTTGTGGGCTTACCAACACAGTGAGTGAGACAAGTGCGCAGTGGGGGAAAGAGGCGCGGATGGAAGTGGTGAATAATAAAATAATTGGCGGGCCACGTGCGGACTCGTCACTCTCACCTCCTGCTGCTGTGCGGCCCGGTTCCTAACAGGACACGGGCCGTTACCGGTCCGCGGCCCGGGGGTTGGGGACCCCTGGTGTAAAGTATACACCACTACATTTGGATGTGTTATTTTAGTCATCATATTCTTAGGTTTTTTTGGTAAAGTCGCGTAGGTAAAAAATGTAAATTAATAAAAGTAAAATAAAAATAAAATAAAAATCACGACGTTTCGGAGGCAACACAAGCTTCCGTCTTCAGGTGGAACCGTCACAGCACGATAGCTGTATCAAGTGAGAGCTTTTATTAATAATTTTTTTTTTTACCTACTTGACTTTACCGAAAAAAACCTAAGAATATGAATCCTTGCAGTCACGAAAGCTTCAAATCTAGAATTTTAGTCATCATTACATGGAGCGTGTATGTTCAACTTCGTTTGCACCGTACCTAGTCAACCGTGAGAATCGAAGGTGTGGGGGGAAGGGCAACGAATTAAAAACAAAAATTAGTTCTAAAGAAAATAAATTTTCAATCTAGGCAGCAAATGTGCAGGTAATGGTTTGTAGAGTTAAGGCATATCCTCAAACAACACCCAAACATCCAAATAATGTAAAATTATCAGAGTTAACTGACACTTGCAAGGAAATGTGTGACGTGTTTTAGCTGTGTTTGAAGCATAGTATGACATTTCATCATAACTTGGAAAGGAATTGTTTATCATCTTACATCCTATCTCCATGTGCGACTTTATGTACCGTTGAACAAACTGCAACCAACGTTGGCCCAACATTAGTCGACTGTTACTAAACTTTACTTTTTTTTAAAGCTATGAGATAAAACTGCATTTCTTGTCCAGTACAGCAGTAATAGTAATCTGAAGACTTGACTTAAAGCTTTCGTGACTGCAGGAGTTCATATTGTTCGGGTCTTTCGGTAAAATCACGTAGATAGTCAAAGAAAATTACAAAAACTACAACGTCTCGATCGCAACACAAGCGGTCATCATTCAGGAAAAAATTAACCCGTAAAAACAAAGTTTTTCACTATAAATCCTTTATATGCGTGGCGGCCAGAGTCCTCTCGTCCTCTGGCTTGAGATGGCTGCCACTTATGGGTCAGATGATTGCCTGCCACCATTAAGCAATTGGTAATTAAATATCTTTTTTTTTTACCTAAAAAGTGTAACATTTTGGAGAAAAAAAAATCACGGAAATAAATTGTCACGCACAACGAGTCTGTGTGCAAAATGTCAGCTCGATTGGATCACGGGAAGTGGGTTAAAAAAACGACCGAAAGATTTGCACGGTCGTAAGCGCGCAAGCAAGCAAGCGCGCAAGCAAGTGAACTTAATATAAAGGATTTAAAAAGGGGTTAACTTCTAAAGGCAAACTGTGTATAAAGGTTTGAAATGGGTGTAGCCCAAGTGTCAGCAGCATGGGCGGGGCAGCTGATATTAATGTGAGTGGTGGGCAACGACGGCGCTGGTGGTGGGTTTCCACCAATGGAAGGGCTGCCAGGTAATCATTGCACCTCGCTTGACACACTCACACTGTTGACGGTGGAGGTTGCTGCTCAAGGTGATGGTATTCATATAGGGCCACGACGGCACTGGTGGTGAGCTTCCACTAATGATACCGAAAGACCCAAAGAAAATACTAATCTTAAGCCCAGGTGGCTGACTAAAGAGAAATGAAGACAGTAGCAGAAGATAAATAAGTACCTCTCGTATATAATATAAGGGAGGATAGCAGGGATTTTATTGCAATTCGTGTTCAGTCAGACAATGAAAACATTCTTTAAACACCCGTTGACACAGGAAACTTTCACCCACTCTCAAGATTAATTCAAAAGCGTTCTGAATCGGACAGTATTCATATTCTTGGTTCTTTCGGTAAAGTCACGTAGAATGGAAATAATAAAAATTAAACATAATATAAAATTATCACGACGTTTCGGCCACAACGCAAGCAGCCGTCCTCAGGTGAAGAAACATGATGGCTGCTTGCGTTGTGGCCCAAACGTCGTGAGAATTTATGTTTTATTTTTATTATTTTATTATTTCCCTTCTACATGACTTTACCGAAAGAACCAAGAATATGAATCCCTGCAGTCACGAAAGCTTTAAATCGATATCGGACAGTATTCTTTTCACTCAAGGAGTAGTAACCAGCAACAAATTGCCTAAAGGCAACATGCAAATACGGGAAAAAACATGCCTGCCTAACCCTGATCAGTGCTTCTGCTTATTAACAGACCAATTCAGACCTTATTGGTCACCCTTGCCCTTATACATCTCAACGTGCATCCTACAAAGTCCCATCATAAGGGAGAAACACAAATAAATAGCTAAAAATTCAGATATTTTTTGCCCGTATTAAAACGGCTGTACGTCGTATGGACCTGGAAACGCAATTTCCCTGTATTAGAATACGGGTAAACTGTATGGGTTGACAGGTATTTAAAACACTCAGATGCTATTTTACAGACTAGTTCACACACCTATTTTCTGTACTGCATGGCCACTTCAAAGCTCATTAGAATAGGGTGTCTCACAAATCTGCGTGAATCACCATCCCTTACCCCCAAACGGCACTACACAGGTGCTTACGATGCCACTTCTCTTGTGGATTCAGTGTTGGTGCAAGTTCACGTGCCAACTTCAGCGCACGCTTAGAATGCTTGTGGTTCGGTGTGAATTACTCACGCCGAGAGGCTCTGAAGAAAATACTATGATATTTGTTTGTGTCACTGCTAACTTAGTAGATACGTATTCATACATTCTGTTGCCCAATGCTCACGGCCACGGGATGTCTATCGTGCACGTGAACACAGCTCAGTTCTCCTCTGCAGGAGTCGGACTCATCTGGTGGGTGCTCTTCTTTGGCTGCCAGTCCATGGCCAGTTTCGCCCATCAACCACCACCCGGTATAGCGACGTGCCCTGCCCAGAACCCACGTAACTCTTCTCGAACAAGGCATTGCAATCCCTCCGATTGTTGGGTTTGTTCCCCGTGTCCTCCTCCTCCTTCTCGTCGTGTTTCTCAGTGCACTTCCGAGCAACGCATCCTCACCATGCTTCTCTGTGACCACAGCGTTGTGTGTAAAGGCGAAGCAGAGGAATGGTTTTAGCTTTGGAATAGAATGCTCTGTGCGGGCGTGAGGATGGACGCGTGGACCGAAGTGATGTTAGCTGGACGCAGCGTCATCGACGGTGTCAAGCCATGGGAATGAAATCGCAACACAGCACAAAGTTATTCAGGGTGTGAGTATTAATCTCGCCAGTCACGCAAGTGTCACCGACGGCAATGATGTTTTGGTGGCCCCTCCCTAATGCACATGCACAACAGCGTGACGCACGCGCTCAGCCCGCATACCACAAACAGACATAAATGCACACCCATGTGCGTTGTGCCCGCTGACACGTTCCAGAGGCTGCAGGCACACAGAGTCATCCATCGACGCAGCGGCACCGCTTCAAAGTAATTGCTCAGCACTGCCAGTAATTGTTACTCCCGAGACGCGCTCGGTGTGGAGCTCGCATACGACGCATTCGGTGGGGTGGTCAATCAATGTGCAGACGTGTGAGTGTCACCGCAGAGCTCCGAGCGCAATGAGAATGTCCGCAATCAGCTGAGCGCCGGGCAGCCTCTCTGCGTGTTAAGAGAAGGGGGGGGGGGCAGCAGCGCTGTGTGGTTCGCTTCAAGTCTCGAGTGCACGTGGCCGTCAAAGGCTGAAGACGGTGGTACGCGATGGCTCTCGTGGTTCATCTGAAGCGGGTGGAGAAGCTTCGGGGCAAAGCGGACCGGATTGCCCGAGTGAAGTTTCGAGGTACGCACGCTGGCCCCACACTCGCATGCATTCACGACACATACGCACATTGCGCTGTGACACATGATCACCAACAGGTATGCCTCTGTAGATATATATATACAAAAAAGTTAACATGTGGACAATGACAGTGATATGTTATCAAGTCCATTTATTTTTGTAAAGCTTTATTTTAACATTAAGTGTCTTATTTTGCATGTAGGCTTAAACACAAACATCGCTTATGATTCACAATTTGGGTCAGATAAATGTGTTTTTATTATTTTATACGTCTGCTAATATAGCACCTCTTATTCCATTAAAATTGTCGCCTTCCTTTTATCCATGCACATCTGCGTTATTCATGCACCTCAATTATTCATATAAGATGCCCGTATCGATGCAAACTGTGCTCTATACACAAAGATGTTATTGATTCATATCGGGCATGCTGTCTTCTTACTCATTATCTCAGCCGAGGAGGAAGATCTGGAAAAAAAATCACCCCATTCGAGCCATTGTAGGGATAAGAGGAAGTGAGCCCAAGAGTATGACCATATGGTGCTGGCAAATACTTTGGATCATCTAAGACTTCGGAAGTGAAGAGAAACTAATCCTCTGTTTTTGATACTTGCACATATATAACAATGATAATAAGTGGCCGATAAGTGATGGCAAATGCGTGCTAATATCCTTGTTCATCCATTCTTCACCAGTCAAAAGAAGGGGTAAAATGTGTGGATAAAGTCAGATCTAAGTTTCCACCCAAAGCCACTCAATATCATAGCCACTCAATGTCATAGCCACCCAATATCAAATCAGAAAGAGGACTTCTACGCTAATTTACACGAAATTGAAATGTTCTGCTACTTGTTTCCTTTAGTTATTTTTCTCACGTATTATTCTTCCAACAATGAATGTGTATATGTCCTTCTTCATGAGTATGTTCATTGAGACGTCCAGTCTTAATGAGTTCCGGCAAAGTCCTTGCTGTATTGATTGCATCTGTAGCCATCCTGCGCCGTACACAGCTGATTGAGAACTCTCATCACAAACACACAATTGTCAATGCCATCAGAGACAATATTTGGACGACGGACTTTCTTCATGACCAGCGTTCTTGTGAATACTTGACCCCCGCTTGCTCTCCAATCAAAGATTTCGACGTCCAACTGAGTGAGCCTCAGCATTGACCCGGCACAGTCAGTTATTTATGTTCTTTATATCGTTTCAATTTAAAGCTTTCCTGACTGCAGGGATTTATCTTCTTGGTTCTTTCGGTAAAGTCACGTAGAAGGGAAATAATAAAATAATAAAAATAAAACATAATAAAATAATTCTCACGACGATTCGGCCACAACGCAAGCAGCCGTCCTCAGGTGAAGAATGAATAGCTTGGTGGTGTTTCATTCTTCACCTGAGGACGGCTGCTTGCGTTGTGGCCGAAACGTCGTGAGAATTATTTTATTATGTTTTATTTTTATTATTTTATTACTTCCCTTCTTTATATCGTATTTGCTTACGACACGCGTGTCATCTTATCGTATTTGATATTTATAGAGCTCCCTTAGCTCAAGGCGCTTCGCATAGTTTTAATGCGGTAACGTAACTAAAGTGATTTAGATGGTGGGCGGGCTGGGGGCGTGCAAGGAACGAGGAATGAGTGACCGAAATAGAGGGGGCGTGGGACCACGAAATTGACTACAGGGGAAGTATTTGTAGAGGCGAGGGGAGGGATGAGAAAGATGATGGGCAATGGAGAAGAGGTGAGGATTGAAGAGAGGAACGAAGGGAGGTTCAGGAGGGGGCCTATGTTGAGACACGTGTGGAGTGTCAGCTCATTACCTCGTGATGACGATATTACATTGTGTATTTTATAGCCGGAGTCGTTATTTTATCATCAAATTGTCTTTACTTTGTGATGTTTGAAAACATTACCGCGGTCTCAACTTGAGGAGTGGTAGGGTAATTGTACTTTTTCATGGATAACATTGCTGCTATTGATTTTTGAACTAAATAATGTACTTTTTTGCACGTGGTATAATCACTATCTGGAACTTAGCCTGCCTGGTTTTGAGTAAGAAACACCTCTTATTCGACATGCTATTTCAGAAAGAACTATGCTGCGTCGAAGCAATGCAAAGGGTAGGAGTTTGGAATGTGTCTTGTAAGACGCCATTCTTCTGACAAATTACTTTGAGCCTTTGGGGTTAATTGCGATTATTTATTAACTACTTATTTATAGTTGGGCAGTGCTTTAACCTTATGTAAAGTACGGCGATGGCGCGATGGTTTGCCCATGGCGCTATGAAGCAGGTGACCAGTCTGATTCATCACTGGCGAGTGCAACCCTCATTTGCCCACACGCTAACCAGAGCGGTGAAGTATGGTCAAACAACTCCCAACAGCCCACAAGGCATGGGGAGACCTTCATCCAGCAGTGGATTGACAAAAGGGCCGTACGTTATTGTTATGAAGGTGTTTATCTATATACAAGTAAAAAATACAACTCAAAATTCCAATACATTTTAGGACTATAGTATTGCATCAATCCGACCAAAATCAACCCGTAATGACCAATTATCTCGTCAGATCTCACAAGTCCAGTAGGAATTGAGTCTGGGCGGTGTTCGCAGGGAGATAATCAGACAGCCATGCAGGCCAGGTTGGTGTAGGCTGATGCGGGGCTACAGCTGCGGTGCACAGCAGGCAGAGGCAGCGGCAGAAACAAATTCATCGTTGTGCTGTACTTTCTATGCGCCCACGTCCGCCTTCGCTGAGCAGCACTGAGCAGCGTGGCGAAGTATCAACACACAACACGTCGTTAGCTACACGGCGCGGGAAGGCCTTCATACAGCAGTGGGTTTACATTGGGCTGTTACCAATATTGGTGCAGTGGCGTGGTGTCGTGGTTTGGTGGAGTGTAGTTGAGGTTGTAGTGTATTGGTGTGGTATATTGTTTAGTGCTGCAGTGACATAGTGTAGTAGTCATAGCAGTGTTGATTGGTAGTGTAATTGTGTACCGTAATGGTGTAGTGTATTCATGCAGTGGCGTGGTGTAGTGGTTTGGTGGAGTGCAGTTGTCGTTGAGGTTGTAGTGTATTGGTGTGGTATAGTGTTTAGTGCTACAGTGAAATGATGTAGTAGTCATGGTAGTTTAGAGTGGTAGGGTCATCCTGTACCATACTGGTGTAGTGTATTCATGCAGGTGGTGTGCTCTATTAGTGTGGTGTGGGGGTGTAGTGTAGTAGTTCACATTTTTAAACAATTGTAATCGGTGTGTAGGTGTGGTTTAAAGGTCGGAGTGCTGTGCTGGATTTGCAGAGATCCTGGGCATGAATCAAGGCAAGCCACCTGTGTTTAAACTGGGTTCTTAGGTGTAACCTGTTGACATACTCAGCCTGGTCACAAAATATTTAAACATAGATATGTTGAATTTGGTTATGAACTTAATTTGTCTACGGTTTAATATTTGAGAGCTTAAATATCTGTTTGTCACGTGAGAAATTATTCTTATTTGCAGTGGCTGGGAAAGTGCTTCCGTGTGGACCAGAGGTCAATTGAACGTATCTCCGAGGACATTCTGTGACATCAGCATCCGTGGGCTATTCCAAAGCACGATTGGTTGCCCTACTGTGAGAGATCACAACAGATTCTTGGTATGACAGCAATAGCAAACTGTTGGGAGGGGGTGGATGTAACATATATACAATGAAAACTATAAACATTATATTCTTCTTGGTTCTTTCGGTAAAGTCACGTAGAATGGAAATAATAAAATAATAAAAATTAAACATAATAAAATAATTCTCACGACTGAAATTCAGACTCTGTCTTCTCGACAGACCTGTTCTTCACCTGAGGACGGCTGCTTGCGTTGTGGCCGAAACGTCGTGAGAATGATTTTATAATGTTTTTTATATTTATTATTTTATTATTTAAATTCTACGTGACTTTACCGAAAGAACCAATAAGATGAATCCCTGCAGTCACGAAAGCTTTAAATCGAAACATGATATTCCTTGTATTAATAGTAAGAGGTAGAGTATATATATGTCTTCATTAGCTATCATCTATCCACTTCTGGATGAACAGCACCCCACGCCGTCGCGTATTGGCTGGAAGAAATTATGACCAGTGGTCAAGACTAGCGACAGAGCGGCAGCCGCAGGAGGGACACACTGAAACGATGATTAAGGTGGCACTCATTACCCAAAAAGTTCCTGCCACAAATGAACAACAATACCTTGGCTGACCTCGTCAAGGAGCGTAAAGCATCGTGCCAACTCCGGTCATCCTCGCTGCAGCGGCTTCTGGCTTCGCCATCGAACAGAGACGCTCACCGCATCGAGCGCTTTCAGATGCGCTTCTGCGGCCGTCTGGAACGCTCTTCTGATATTCGGAAACCACTGGAGCTGTACGATTCAAAGTAATCTCTATAGAAAACGAATTTCTTTAAAAACGGCTTTTTGTGTTTAGATTGTTGTCCTTCTCACACACCTCCGATTAGAACGTTTGGCTACATACCGGTAAGAAAGAGGTTCAACATGCATACATACATACAAATCGGTTCGTATGCAGGAGCTAAATCTACGTGTGCATAGCGAGTGTTTTAATGTATATTTAACTTATTTCGCACTGTACGTAGCCAACCGTGCTAATTGGAGGTGCGGAGGGAAGACAAAAACACATCTTCAAATTAATCCTGGGGCATGATATTGTAATGTATTTATTTCTGAAACCCTCAACTACTTTTAAGTGCTTTTTACATAATTTTACACGGATAGTAATTAGGATATTTATGCCATTTGTATTTTATCTCCACAATTCACGTGACAAGACAAGGAATGTCATTTTTCCTGCTGAATAAATACACAATAAGACATGCACCCCCCAGGCTTGCTTTCAGCCTTGATATCGTTTTACTTCAGCAGGTGGCATGGACCCCTCCACCAGACTAATTCTAAATGATCCGGAAAGATCAGTACTGATTAGAAAACAGGGATTAAAAAGGTGTCCCACAACATAGACTGCAGTATTTTATCGTGCATTTTGGATTCCGTTACCTTTGAAAGGCGTCATATATGATAAGCCAACCAAGAACGTGACCCCATCTTGTTTAGGTTAAATCATAATCCATAATCTGTCAATAATATATCTGATCATCTATTGAAACTATCAGTATATCCCAATATATTGTGTTTACCTCCAAGCAGCCCTGATTTACGTACATTTATGAAAGAGGTCAGTGGTAGACAGTGCTTAATTTCAGCCAGAATAGTCCATGATGCTGGTCTGGGTTTTATTTTGACACACCACATCTTTCCTATGAATAGATTATAGGGATATAGGGTGCAATAATAGAGGATTATTATGGATTGTACTCTAGTTGCAGGGCCTTAAGTCAATAACCATACTGCAAGCAAGAGAAGTGGTATCTGGAAAATAATCGAGTTGTAAAATAATCCGTAGATATTGGTGGTTATCTGACTCAGTTCCACCCTTGGGGTTGTATATTATAACACTGAGTGCTAATTTAGTTTTATAATGTGCAGCATTCAGCACATGTAAAAAGCAATCGTGAATCTCTTGCAGATATACTTTAAAGCACTTCCAAGTGGCTTTGTAATAAAAGTCTGAATGTACAAAACGAAGAATGGCCACTCCGAGTTTCAGTCAAAGAACCTTCGATGAATTGTGATTAAGATTGTCTAAACTTGCGTGCGTAAGACACACATTTCATTATGAAATGTATAACAATTATGTGGCGTTGTTAATGAAATTCATGAAGTGGAACAGATTTATTTATGCAGGTGCCAATTAATATCGTGAACTTATAATAATAGGTTTTTTACCCTTTTTTCTGGCAACAAAACTGACACCTTTTTACAAGGAATCATTTTGCATTAACCAGAATACCTGCGGTCAGAATGCAAACAAAAAACAACTCTGATAATATTTGCATTAAATTTAGATTTAAAGCTTTCGTGACTGCAGGGATTCATATTCTTGGTTCTTTCGGTAAAGTCACGTAGAAGGGAGATAATACAATAATATGAATATAAAACAATAAAAATGATCACGACGTTTCGACTGCAACACAAGCAATCATCATCAGGTGTGAAAATCCACAGCAAGAAAATATACACTTTTTTCAAATTTTGCTGTGGATTTTCACACCTGATGATGATTGCTTGTGTTGCAGTCGAAACGTCGTGATCATTTTTATTGTTTTATATTAATATTATTTTGTTATCTCCCTTCTACGTGACTTTACCGAAAGAACCAAGAATATAATATATGCATTGTCCTTCACATTGATTGGTCCACACCAGAGACAGCTTTTCTTAGAGCCCAGTCTCACATGGTGTTGGACCAGATGACGCCAAAAGGCGCACTCGTGCGTCATCTCGTCCATAGCCCTCCAGTACAGGGTGGTCTCGGTGTCTTGTGACCCCAAGTAATGACCTCTAAAACATTTTCCCTTTGCTTATTCAGTCTGTTTTCACACCCCCATTGGTATCAAAACATATTAAGTTTTAGACAATTAAATTTTGGTTGATGGGGGGGGGGGGGGTCACAAGACATCTGGACCAATCTGTTTATCACACAGGGTGACAGTGGCAACACTGAAGCGATGATTGAGGTGGCACTCATTACACACGAAGTGCTTGCTACAGATGAACAACAATTACCTCGTCGATCTCGTCAAGGAGCGTAAACCCATCACGCGTACTCCAGTCATCCTAGCAGCGGCTTTTGGCTGGCCATCGTACAAAAGACGGTCACTGAATTGGTGAAAAATAATATGAGGCCGGGAATCCTGAAATGTATCAAGATCTGGCCCATGGGCTATAAAGTGAAATGAAGTTAGCGTGTGTGCGTGCAACGTGCATGCGTTTGCGTCATGTAATCACGCTGCTCTGCTCTTCTTTCAGGTCTGACTTTTGACACGAACGTGTTTGAAAACTGCGAGGATGAAGCCCGCTTCGACAAGGTTTGTGTTGAGATGTTACTCTATCTTGGTGTGTGTTAGTGACCACCCTTCCCACCAAATATTTAATAAAACGATTCAACTATATTTTTTATTTTACCAGGTAAGGCCCACTGGGCTATAAAGCTCTCTTCTTCAGAAGCGACCTGGTCAAAAATTATTGCCCAACGAAGTGGCCTATTACGTGAAAATGTATAGCAGCCAATTACTATGAATGCATGTTGATTCAAAATGTGGAGGGGAAAAACCGGAGGACCTGGATACAAATCCACACGAACACGGGGAGAACATGCAAACTTCAAATATACATGCATCAGGGTTGGGATCGAACCTACAACATCCAGTAAACCAGGCGAGGTAGTAAACAACAAATATCCTAAAGGCATGCATGTCCTCTAACTGATACTGATTTATCTTCTTGGTTCTTTCGGTAAAGTCACGTAGAAGGGAAGTAATAAAATAATAAAAATAAAACATAATAAAATAATTCTCACGACGTTTCGGCCACAACGCAAGCAGCCGTCCTCAGGTGAAAACCAGGTCTGTCGAGGCGACAGCGTCTGAATGAAAGAACCAAGAAGATGAATCCCTGCAGTCACGAAAGCTTTAAATCGAAATTTGATACTGATTTATTTAAACTTTCACTCTATGTATGTTGGACGAGGAACTGTTAGTGGGCTTCACCTGCTTTTCTCCGAGCATTAGTCTCACAGCCCTTTTCCAAAAAAAAATCGCAAACATTTAGCGATTTAAAATATGACAACACATTCAGGTGCCGCAGTCATCACTTGTTGATGCAACATTATTTTTTTAATATATATATAAACCTAGCTTCCACAACAAAAACGTAAAAAAATCGGCCCCCATATTTCGGAGGGCACTTAAAAAACAATTTGGTTTTCAGAATTATGTTTAGGTATATAAGTATAAATGTGACTATGCATCTGCCAAATTTAAGCTTCACTATCGCTTTAATCTCTGGAGGGCTATAAGTTATGCGCCAAATTTGAATATCCTGGTTTTTGGATTTAATATGCTGGTGTCATAAACCAAACTTTAAATGTACATCAAATTTTTTAGCACATTCTAGAGCATCATAGTGTGCAGGGTGGTACAGATGTCTTTTGACCCCCAATTAATTGACCCCTACCATTGTTTTCCTTTGCATATTAAATTGTGTTTGAAATAAACCTTACTTTAAAAATAAGACATCTGGACCACCCTGTACATCAATCACTCACGCACTGTCGGCTATTACACAAACGTACACACAGACACAAACGTGCCTGATACAGTGTCGAATTCTAGAACGATTGTTATAATCGTCACATCATGCAGTTTGTCTCCCTAACACGTAGGCTTTCGCGACCAGTATTACTATGATCTCGAAACGTGATGGGGTTCAACTATGATGACGTCGTTCTGCACTATTTAAGACCAGAAGCAGGTGGATGACTTCACTATTCTGGCAAATCGCCCGATGATGCTGGATGTAATTACCAGCGAAACGTCGTACTACTCAAATAGCAAATGTTGTGGATTCACTCTTCAAATACACCGGTGGGCTAAAGAAGTAACTAATTTGTTGTTTTGTTAACGTGACACATTTTTTTACTGATCGGCCGTGTCAAGTGGTGAAGGGTTGCGACACATTTATAAATAACGCGATCTAACCCACAAACCTTTATTATGTATCCCCTCCGCTGATGTTTACCAAAACTGTTCCAGGTATTCCTTTCAGGCTAAGTAAAGCTGCAGGAGGTACAAGCCTTGTTCAAATAACATGCATTAAAGAACATTCGCATGCATAGTTGAGGCTTTTAGCATTGAATGAGAATTTAAGGCTTTTCAAACAGAATATACACGAGAAGTTAGAATCAGTTTGAGTGTCAAATAGTATAAATAATGTCCATGGATCTCCACATTAATGCTGTATACATGTGTGTGTAAAAGCATAATTAAATGCCTATGTTTTCTGGAAATCACAATTGTTGATAATTGTGCTTCTATTACCCACAATGAAAAAGAGTGAGATCAAAATATTGACACAATACATCACTGCACGTGAAGCCACTGGAGCTATGGACTTTTAAATCATCTCGATTGGAAACTAATTTTTTGGGAACTGCTTTTGGTGCTTAGTGTGTTGCCCTTCCCCCCGCACCTCGGGTTCGCGCCGTTGGCTACGCACGGTGCGAAAGAAGCTCAACATACTGTACATTTGAAAACCCCCCGCCCACCTCCCACGCATTTCACAATTAGCACTATTCGCATTCCTGCATTTCCCATAAATATGATAAATTCCTCTTCAAATGCAAATTCTTTTGTCAAGGCTCTCTTCCTCTTCCCTCACAGCTTAAATAGACACTCCAAGCCTAAGACGTGTCATTTAGACTCTGTCTTATCGACAGACATGTTCTTCACCTGAGGACGGCTGCTTGCGTTGTGGCCGAAACGTCGTGAGAATTATTTTATTATGTTTTATTTTTATTATTTTATTACTTCCCTTCTACGTGACTTTACCGAAAGAACCAAGAAGATGAATCCCTGCAGTCATGAAAGCTTTAAATCGAAATTTATACTGTACATACTTGGAGCAGAGAGTTTCCCTTCAGCTTTTGTGTGCCTTCGCTGTCTGCCACAAATATGTCTTGGCAACACACATTTATGCACAGTCAATTGCTTGTAAAATAGTAACAAGGTGGCCCGTTCATAGACAACTGATTACTATACTATGAAAGTAATTGCTGCATACCCTACAGAGGATAATGTTAAACGATTAAATAAGCTCTATTGCTGATAGAAAAAATAATAACAATAAAATAATAAAAATATATTTTATTATTCTATCTACGTGACTTTACCGAAATAACCATATAATATGAATTCCTGCAGTCACGAAAGTTTTAAGTCAAAATTTAAGCTCTATTGCGATTGGCGGGAGATGTGGCAAGGCTTGACGTTGTTTTCGCTACAATTTCATCATTTTAGTTCAGCATGTATCCATGGAGCACCTTGTATGATACTACGAATTATGGGACACGTACATGTGATAGTAGGCCATGTACTTATGCAATGTACATTATAAAACAAACTTACAGCTGCAGTTTCGTCACATATGATACGTGTTTAAGGCACTCACGAAGTCTGTATGTGGGTTTCCATGAATCATACTTGAACTAGTATATGGGCTGTGATTTAATTGAATGGGTAACAATGCCGTGGGCACAGTCAGAGCCTGTTCCGAGTCCCTGGTGCCCCTTACATATGTATTTTATCGTTCAAAACCAGTTCTAGGCGTAGCAACTTTTCCTGCTGCTGACACGCGTAAACTATTATGTATGTCACGACGTGGCCACTCCCTTTGACATCTGATTTTGGATTTCTCAGCAACATCCAATGTGCTAAAAACACAAGCTGCAATCTTCACATGGACGATTTCGCTCGGAATGCACCAAATAGCGCTGTTTACGGGTCAGCCGAATATCGACGGCTTGAGAAGTATTCTCTGTCTCCCTCTGTCTCTCTTTGTCCCCCTGTCTTTGCCTGTATATCACTCTCTCAGTCTACCTCCCGTGTCTCTCCATCTGATGTTGTCTCCTTGGTTGTAGCTGTCTCTAGCTCCCTCTCCGTCACTGCCTCTGTCTCCCTCGCTGCATTATTGTCTCCATCCATCTCTCCCTCGCTCATCTTTGTTTGCTATCTCTCTGTAGCATTTCATCTGTGTCTGCCTCCGTGGCCATCCCTGTCCATCTCTGTGCCTTTGTTTCATTCTCTCTCTGTATCCCTGTGTTTATCTTTGTATTTCCCACTGTGTTTCTCCTTATCTGCATTTTCTGTCGACTTATCTCTGTCCCTAACCCTTAACCCTAACCCTTAACCCTAACCCTCTGTCCCGCTTTCTCTCTGTCTGTTTGGCTTTCTTCCACTGTCTCTTTTTCTCTCACCGGTGTCTCTCCCTCCCTTGCCTTGTGCTCACGGTGATAATTGTTGTCTTCGTAGCTGCTGTCCTTGTCTTACTCTCTTGATGGCCAACCCCGCCGTGAGCCATATTCAGATTCACATTTATTATTTCGGCGAATTCACTTGAATATATGATGTGGGTCCAGCCCTCTTTGTCGATCCACGTCTTGCACGAGGGCCTCCTGATACCCGCCACCTTCGTAAACCCACACTGTCCAGTGTGGTGAAGTATGGTTGAATAATGCCCCACGACCCGCACAATTCAACTGACTACAAGTAATATTAATAATAAAATCAGCTGACAGGCTGAATTAAAAAGCAAACGTGAAATGTATGGTGCATCCCTAATTTGCCTAGAAAATTATGTAATACATGTAGTACTATAATTAAGATTTTTACACTACCAGCCTTCTCTGATGACGATCTAAAGCCCAATATTATTTCCTGTTTTTCCAAAATAGTTATTATAGTTAACAGTTTATCCCAAAATAATTCACAAAAACTGATTGATAGAGAACGTAATGCTTCACCTGTTTCGATTCATTACATGAGTATTGTATACACTATGGGCCGCCCATACGGTGTGAGATTGGTGAATACCGGCTATTGTGGTCAGCACGTGACGTGGTCGTGGGGCAAGTGTTAGTGCTGGATTGTATTCCCCTGCGCCAGATCTTAGGTTACATTAGCGGTCCAAAACCTGCTGGTTGGTGGTGCCTCTTGCATCAAACATTACAAGAGGTTTTAATTTTCGATTTAAAGCTTTCGTGACTGCAGGGATTCATCTTCTTGGTTCTTTCGGTAAAGTCACGTAGAAGGGAAGTAATAAAATAATAATATTTTTATTATTTTATGACTTCCCTTCTACGTGAATTTACCGAAAGAACCAAGAAGATTACAAGAGGTGTTTTTTACCCTTCCCCCTGTGGTTATTAGACAAATGGCTTCATTTGTTAAGAAGGTACGAGATGTCAACATGTCATAGCTGAAGGCACGAGATGAAACGACATAATTAGCACACGTTTAGAAGTTTGAGTTGT